GTGTGTGTGTGTGTGTGTTTTGGTTTTTTTAGAATTTTAGAGCTTTATGCTTAAGCGAGAAAAATGTCCACTCAGCAAGTCGCACAATATTCTTCCAACGTATTGCTCAATAATATGGTTCAGTGCTGTCAGGTGGGATGTGACTTGCAGCTGAAGCCCCACCTGAACTTCTTCATCAAAAGTTAGCCTGTTGCTGCTAATTAAAATCAAAACAAAACATTTCACAAACAGGATAATGTTAAAAAATGCTTCAGAATAAAAAAAAATAAAAATAAACGTCACTACGGGAAGACCGACACAAAGCTGTAGCCCGCTCAGTTTTTCGACTCTATAAATGAAAAGGCGTTCTGATTGGTCCAGATGATTTTATTTATTACAGCTTCGTGTCTTATCCAATCAGGTGTTTCTTCTTTCGGGGAGACTGAAATTTCATTTGAGTGTCCTGGAGCTCCGACGCTAAATTAAATTACCGCCGACTGAATGTAAATGTAATGTTGACAGTGCGGGTTTATGTAATCGTAATTGTTAGATTGGCTCTTCGGTCCTTACCTTGGCCTTCTTAGATCTAAGAAGGCCTAAGTCATTATGTATCCATCATACACTTATCTGAACGATCTCATGATCGGTGACGGTAGACTCCATCTTCTATGCGAGGCAGGTGGTCTGGTTGCAGGTACAGGAATGACAAAACGAGATCAGTTCACCATAATGTGGAATGACAGATTATAAATACATTCTACAAACAATTTAATATTCACTTCGAACACGTTTAACAAGACTATCCTTTTCTTTGTTCAATGCTGTTTCTCACGTAGGATTCATAAATAGAAATAAAAAACGTTGTATTGAAAGAATGCAAGAAGAGAGTAGGAAGGAGATCAAAAGGAAAACAACAGACGGAACGAAGGGAGGAACAAATAAACAGAGCAAAGAAATCTCGACGCTTGTAAAGTAAAAATGTAGAGCTTTGGCATGTTTCTAAAGCGTGCAAGCGTGCAATTCTGTTCTATTTAGGAATCCTCTTTAACAAAGAACATCAGGGGAAAAAACTTGCTTTGTGAGCCATAACATTCTCTCAAGAAATTAAGTAGTTTGTGATCTCTAAGCCAAGCATTGTTGCTTGTTATACTAGGCAGATGTGCCCTTGAGAACACCGTTTCACCGTCGTATGTCTCTAAATCTTTTAAACTCTATTTATGACAGAAAGGTAATCAGGCGAGTATAGTATGCGGAAAAAGTTTACTTTGCGGATGATCAGGTAACAATTTGTAAAAAATGAGGAACTTAAAAAAAAAAAAAAGATGACGGCGTAATGTGGAGAGTCATAATATTTAAATTTAAATCGTTCTGACAACTTTCAAAGAAAAGTAATTATTGCTCGTTATGTAGACCGAAGAGTAGATTGTTGGCTAAGTAGTTGACAAACATGCATATCGCTGGCTAAGTGGATAAATAAAATCTTGCTGTAGCTACTTTTCGTGCTATTTTCTTTTTAAATGATATTATGCTCTCACGCATAAGATGTAACAGTTTTGGCATGTGATATTTGGTAATACTTCTCTATCTCCCTCTCTCCCTCGCTCCGTCCCCCCTCCCCCCAACCCCTTTCTTTCTCTCTCTCTCTCTCTCTCTCTCTCTCTCTCTCTCTCTCTCTCTCTCTTAATAACTTTCAATAACTAGAGACGTCTGCCCTCGGGTATATGGTTAGTTGTTGATGATATTCAGGACTATTAAACATCACTGAAGACAATAGGTTGTAGTAAGATTAGAATTAAGCTGAAAAACTGAAAAATCAAAACGCTGAGCGCCCATTGTTTTCCTTTTTTGTTGAAATCTGAACTGAATATAAAGAGATGTGTTCTGTTCATGGAGGGTGAACCAAATTTAATGGGGAGTGTGGATCAAGAGGTATTGTTACTGCGTATTTCTACAAAATGTTTTTGTTTAGTATGTTTTGAAAGTAAAAGGATGATCAGCGTAAGTGTAGCTTCGGTGGAAGAAAATCATTTTTTCACTCAAAAGCGGTAAATGAATGCAGCACTGGAATTTTACATTTTTCAAACAATATTTGAGGAGTAAACTGAAAAAACGGGATATTTTGAACGCTTGTTGGCTCATAACTGTATTTCTGTTCAGCTGTTGGTTGATTATTGTTGTTAGATTTACCATCCAGCAAACATATAAAATAAACCACCAATCAAACAAATATGAAATTATGAGTCCACAAGCTTTTAAAATTGACACCCTCACAATTTTCAGTTTGTGATTATGTCCGTTTTTTTCAGTGTAGTCTTCATTTGTTGTGGCATTAATAGTGTTTGTGTCACCTGTATAAAAGCCGGCGTCTGTGGTGTAGCAGTTTGGCGCTTTGCCGTCTCAGGCGGGACACCCGAGTTTGATTCCCGTGTGAGAAGACTTTTTACCGAATACTTCTGTCTTTTTTGTGGGATATTGCATCCATTTCAGCCTGGGTTGGTCCTGACAGGCAGGATCGAAGCCCGCCTCCTTAGTTGTCTAAATTGTGTCGATGGGAGTGTGAAAACATCTCCTTTGCTTTATTTCTATATCACATTTTGAAAGGATCATTTTTACTACAAGCATGAGAAACTTTTCTTCTTCAACCTTTGATGTTCCTCACGTTGTGCTTGCCTCCTGGAATATGGCGGGCACATAGCAATGTCGATTGAGGCAGGGTCAATGCCCTCTGCTACTGGAGTTCAAGCCTAGAGCAGCGAGCACTCATATCTGTAGGCCTGTAGCGTGATATTAATTATTGATCCTTATATCACAGTGTGGATAACAGAGTGAAGATTGTGCGTGAGTAAACAAAGGTCAGACTTGTTTCTTGTATGTGAAAGACAGGGAATGAAAGATGTGTGTGTATGTGTGTGTGTGTGTGTGTGTGTGTGTGTGT